GTGCTTTTATAATTTTATTTAATTTTTACTAGAAACCGAATGTGAAAAGCACATAAAAGAGTTCTTGAAAAATGGAACCAACTGACATGAACCTCCCCTGTATAGGCTGTGCTGGTGTGGTGTTGCTACTAGTCATTCTGCAGTTGTCTTTTTCATGTAATGCCAAGTTAATTTCTGTCTCCTCTGCAGTTGCCTGGCAGAAAGCAGGAGAATCTGTCAGAAGCTGTAATAGTCAGAATAACTGTTTTGCCAGGCAAATTGAAGCCCCATTACAGTCGACATTTGGGAAATGCATCATCCATATAACATTATATGAGGCATGAAGCAAATGCAGTACTGTTATTTCATTACCGATAATGCCAATTTGTTAAGGAGCCATTTATAATAATTCTGTTTCCAGAAATATTTTTTACATCCCAGTTAAATTAACCTGTCTTAATAGCTTTGACCCGCACTGGGAGGGGTGAGGACTAAAACGGAGGTGTACGATTCATACTGTGAGCCGAAACCTGCCTACAGCCGAAAGCACCAGCCTTAGGGAGTGATGCGTGTTGCACAAAACAACATGCCGAGCTTTACTGGCCAATTTAACTCTCCCCCATGGATTCTGTGAGGCTATTTCTTGCAAAGATGATCTTTTTAACCAGGTTGTTGAATGATGAACTGTTCACGCAGAAACACTGATTTGCCAAGTTTAAAATGGTGCTAGAATTTGGAGATTGGAAACTCTGACAACACTGAAAACAGGTGTACTGCTTTAACTTCAACTTCTGTACCTCCTGAATGATTCTAGAGTTCAAGATAGTAAGACTGTTTAGCATTCGCTTGTTTTTGCTGGATATTTGTTTTCTTCTTCTTTTGGACAAGTATATTCCATCTGATAATAATGCTTTCTAACACGTTTCTCACAAACTGCGCTGGGTGGTGTCTTATGTTATTGTGACAGCAAGCAGCAGTGTAAATGAGAGACCTGTCTCCAGGTCCACTTTCAATCCAGAAAAACAATGAAATCGGTCAGTGGCTGAGGCGCACCTACCCAGACACTGCAATTTCTTCAAGTCCTAGGCGAGCACAGTCTGTTCTCCCACCTGGTAACAAGATATTGTGCGAACCAAGTTGTGAACAGTACTTTGTTGAATTTAAAATACGTTTTTTTTTTTTAAACGTTTTATGTTTGTTCTGAGAGCTCCTTCAGAGGCTGGCATTTTCTCGCTTTAAAGCTTCCCCTTTTCAAAGAGTAGCACAGGCTGGCCTTGAGAAACAATAATGCCTTTCCCATTGGCTTGGCAGGCTTCTGTGAGGCACAGAAAGGATGCAGATTGATAGGCAGTGGCCTTGGAGGGTCTGACTTATTAAACCATTTGATGGATTATTCTGCTCAAAAGAGATTTTATTTCAAATGTAGCATTTCTGTTTTTTTTTTCTCCTTTCTGAAATGGAATGAAAACCATACAATGGTATTTGAGATAGCTTTCGGAGTGTTAATGACTGACATTTACTCAGCAACAGCAGGACAAAAAAAGTCTTAACATTCAAGGTGTCAGCAGCCAAATTTGTTTGCCTTTGAGAACTAGGACTGCCAAACTAGAGCAAATTTAATGTAGGTTTGACCCCTGGTTCAGCCTGAATTTATGTCCTTACCATTTCCTCTCATCCACTTTGTGTTTTTTTTATACAGTAGATAGGAACAAGCAGTTTCTCCTTTGGAAATAACGATTAAAGTTCTACGATTTCAGATGGTTTTTGGGTTTAATTATTTTCTCCTTAATTAGGGTCTTATTCTGATGGTCAGTGACTTCAATTCCTCATAAGATTTTAAAATGCGCCAGTGGTAAGTGAAACCATTAAAAGTGAAATAGGAGAATATTAATCTCAAAGTTTCTAATCTAATTTGTAAGTACAAGAAGTGCAGTTTGTTAAAAAGCACCATCTACCTTTGACAACAAGACTCCCTGCATTCAGATTATTATAGGAAATGCAGGCATTTGCAAAGATGTTGTGCTACAGAATGAGCCCAGCACAATGAGCAGGAATACAGAGTCCTTGAGCCCAGATGTACAGTGTGCAGGTCTAAAGGATTTTGCAAGATAGCCTTTCCTCTTTCCCACAAAGAAAGAAAAACAGTTTTTGTGTGGTGGTATAAAAAAGCACTGATCACATAATCAGTTGAATTCAGCCTTTAAAAAAAAAAAGTCTGCAGAGTCACAATAATGAAGTTGATTTAACTAAGTTATTGGGACTTTTTTCCAACCCTGGTGATGTGCAGATGAAGCCAAACCCCAAATGTAAGAGGAACATTAAAATGGCCCATCCTCATTGAATGTTGAATTCTGTGAATGCCAAATGCACCGAGCGCCCGAGACGGTAAACATGACACTCCTTCACTCGGTGTGAGCTAGTCCTGTGAAGGAGAACTTCAGACAGGCTGAAAATAGCACCTGATCCACTCTAAGATGGGCACAAGGTTTCTATTTTTGCCTGTAGGCCTTTTCCCCCCTAATGTTTTGACCAAAAGGAAAACTTTGGTGCTCTTTGAAACGAACTAAAGAAAAGATATATAAATATACTGTATATGCACAAAATATTTTCAAAAAGTCCTCTGCTTTTTTTAAACCAGCACCAAATGGTCAATGTTCAAATGTATGTACAGTAACTGGAAATATATTTGAAAAACAATGTTTTCTTACAGTCAAATCAGAATTATTTGTTAAAGGGGATTTTAGTCCCACTTTGTTTATGTGGCTCTACAAACTTGCTCATCCATCCTCAGTTTTCAGGTAAGCAAATAGACTGCCTTTAGCATAGTAGTTCTTCCACTTCAGGTTTTATATCCTACAGGTGCTTGTGATCAGAATAACTGAGTGGCTACAGCGAGCGTGTCAGTGTTAATTGAACTGAGAGCATGTGTGTGGTGAAGTGAATACAGTATGTTAATTGCAGTACATGTGCAACAAGGCAAGACGAGGAGGTGTACAGGGTTTTGGGAGCTAGGTTTTAGGGTATCAAGGTTCAGTTGCCCTTGTTCTTGGAACAGAAACAAAATCAATGACGCATTCAACCCTGTTTTTCGGTGATTTCACTCTTGATTCCTGCAGTTACAGAGGTTTGAGCTGTACAGCAGGGCGTTAAGAGCTTTTAAGTGCTCTCGGCTGCAGGATGATTACCGTGCTGGAAAATAATGGCTTTGAGCCGATTTTATATTTTTACTTCTCTTTATTTTAACTATTCCATCTCTATTGTGATGGGCCATGTCACATACAGTACTTCAGCGCTGTCTAAAACCAGTTGACACAAATTTCATTCTTTAATCAATCGATTGCTCTACTTTGGACCCCTTTTTGCATAGTTGTTGCTGTTTAGATACGGATATTTATGTTTTTGTAGACAATAGACACACAAAAATAAAAAAAATAAAGCACTTTCACGGCAGTGTAGTGTTTCAGACCAAAGTCCGGTTGTGTTTTCTGTCAGGGTGTCAGCGTGGTGTGTGCTGGAACTGAGGGTCCACAACTCCTGGATGTGGTATTTTCTCAGGAGAATCATTCCGAAGTGCTCTGGGGCCTGTCAAGAATCAGAATGTGCTATTTGTGATTTAGCAATTGCTTTAATGTTTTATGACATGTTTTATGTGTTCTGTGTAATTCCTTTGCCATTGTTTCCTGTTGTATTAGTTTGCAGAATGTAATGTATTGGTGGTTAAAGGTACTCTATTCAGTCATTTGGACATTGGCATTGTCCTCATTCTGTATAGTTCACACTACAGTATGAATGTGCATATCTAGCGCCTGAGTGGGCCATCCCCACTTTCTCAAATGAGCTCAAATGCAGCATGAAGAAGTCTGTCTCTGTCTGTCTCTGTCTGTCTCTGTCTGTCTCTGTCTGTCTCTGTCTGTCTCTGTCTGTCTCTGTCTGTCTCTGTCTGTCTCTGTCTGTCTCTGTCTATGAGTTCATTCACTGTGAAATCTTAACTGTTGTTTCATGTGGGTTAATGCATTTTACTTCTGTGTTCAACTGTGTATCTAGTAGCTTAATACATTTACATTATGGGGATTCAACAGGGCTAATCTTGGACCCTATTTTTGGATTTGTCTCCATAAACCTCTGAAACATTATATGTGTTGTCTAAAGTAGACATCCGTTAAACAATATTGTCGCTGTCCTATTATCAAATACTGGGGTTTCATGATCTATATGGAAGTAGTGCCACCTACTGGTCCACCAAGATCACCACCAGCAGCAGCTTGGATATTTAGGATATATACTTAGAAGCATAACAATCAAATCGAGGAATGTTGAATAATATACTATTAAGGTCTCATTTACCGTGTACACTATGTTACCACTTTATAGAAATTGTATGGTTGCTCTGGAATTGGTTCAGAGAAGAGCAACTAGTTACATTCCAGAGCTTACAGTGATGACCTACAGGCTAAAGGAACCGTTCAGAATTTTTTGTTTTGAACAGGGAAAATTCTGAGGGGATCCGGTACAAGTATTCGTTATCATTTAAAAAAGGAAACCCAGTGGAATTTAATAAACAGTGAAACACAAGGCAGAGGACACAAGTTGAAACTATGTGGAAGGGCATTTAAAATCAAGAACAGGAGGCACTTGTTTTCCCCAAAATGTTGTGAGACTATGGAGCAAGTTGCTTAGCCACGTTGTTGAAACTGCGGCATTCTTTCAAGAAATGGCTGGATGAGATTTTCGGATCAATGAGGAGTGGTTACTATTATAATGTTATGAACCAGATTTCTTTAAATCTCTAGAACAATCAGTTTTTAATTGTGTGGTTGTACATGATGCCACAAACAATGTGAATGTGACTAAAAAGCTGACAATACACACAGGCAGTACAGGGAGAAATTCTGCTCTACTCCCCAGACCTAAATCTTTCAATGTGATGGTGTACTGTGTAAATACAGAACTTCGTATTTGAGGAGTGGTTCAGGTGAATTGCAAAAAAAGATGTTAATTTTTTCCTTCTCTGCTCTCTACAGTGACAGATGAAGACACAGTGAAAAGATACTATGCCAAGTTTGAGGAGAAGTTTTTCCAGACTTGTGAAAAGGAACTTGCCAAAATCAACACATTCTACTCAGGTATGTGTCTTCTGTAAATTTATAACCAGATATTTAAGAACATGTTTGGTAACACATGTTAATAGATACTGGGGTTTGGAAAGAATGCTTGAATGGTTTATTCTGAAGTCCTAAACATAGTGTTGAAATCCTTAATCTCTCAATGTGATAATACTGGTGCTCATGCCTCATAAGCCACAGTAGCATTGCTCCATTGTCTTTTGGGGTATTTTTAGTGTCCTGAAACTCTGCTTTCATTACAAGCTACCCCATTGGAGGATCGTGTGTTTCAGAGAGTGTGCAGTGGAAAAATCACATATGATAACAAAAATTAAGTTTCTACTGTATATTACTTCTTCGGAATCGCCACAGTATCATTTGGCACTTTCAGTGCATGCACAGAAGATGGAGACCACACTCGAGTCAATAATATTCAATAAGGGAATAGTGTTTTTCCAAGTTTGACTGACATAAAATAAACACTGAGAGCTGTCTAAAAAGCATTGGGCAAGAGCTCACTGTTTTGCGGTCATCCATTCCTGCCAAGATAAGACAAGTAGGCCACCTCAGATTAAATACGGAGATACATTTATTTTATAACATTGATAAAAAAGTGCTTGGGGCAGTTGGGGAGGCTCTTGGTGCTGCAGAATGTTTATATTTGTGCAAGTGGACCGTGGCTTCGAAAAGGTAGAGAAAATTCCTTCTTGGTCCTTTTCTTGGCCTGCCTGGGCAGATCTTCTCCCTCACAGCTTACTCTTTCACTCTCCTACTCTTTGCCTCTGAGTGTTTTCTCTCTGTTATACAGTACTCCCACCTCTGTCAGCCTCTCACCCTCTTTCTCCCACAAAATACCCGTTATCAGACACAGAGTTTTAATGTGGCAGCTGGCCCTTTCTCTCTCAAAACACCTGAGGCTAGTCACCCATCTGTAGCTTTTGTTACTGTATGTAGAGCGTTCTTAGTTATTTTTCTCCATGAACCCTAAATGTGAGGTCTTTCTCATCTAAACTGAGAATGTTTGCCGCTAACTTGGCAGACAGAGACTTTGCAGTGCACAGCCTTTCAGATAGTGTTATGAAATCATAAGTCCATTGGAGAAAGATGAAAAAAAGGCATAATGTTTTAACAACTGTCATGTAAACAGTCTTTCTAGCCACTGAGCAGCAGAAAGGAATAAAACATTTATCCATCCAAACCAGGGAACTGTGAAGAATAAACTTAAACAATCAAGACTCAAGATAATCCTGTTTCCAGGGTGCCTAGAGTTTTGTACAACAGTCTTTTTCCACAACTCACCTACTTTAAACACATTTATCCTCATTAATCTTTCATCTTGGCAGCAAATCTTTCTTTTGTTATTGATAAGAAGTGCATGCTGTCTTCCTTGAATTTATTTAATGTAATTGTCATTTAAAGCAGCTTTTGTTGAAAATTTCCATCTTTATAATCATTCTCTTTCTTGATGAAGAAGACAATTGTCTTGATATCTGTACTTAAAGACAGATTGCCACTGCTTTTGAAACGTGTTTGGACTTAATGAATTAATTATGGCGTGTTCAGGCCATGAGCTACAACGTAATGATAAAATGTTGATTTTTAAATACCTTTTTTATTGGCCGCATATCCACATACTGTGCTCTTTTGCAAAATCGATTCATCTCTGCACACAGCTGCTTCCTTTTAGAAACATGTCAGCAACTTTAGTATCTTGGTATGTAATTGTGAAACTGTGCAGCTGGAAATTCCCGAGTGAATGTTAATGAACTTTTTAAAAACATTTTGGATCATGTATACTTCATCATAAGTGCATGGCAAGAATTTATATGCACTGCGCTATACACACGACATACTGAACCTGTATGCTGCACTAGCGCAGGTTGTGACTGCTGGTACAGGCTCTGTACAGATACTATAAGCTGGTGCTGTATATGGAGCCTGGTCTTTCCTCTCTGCGTGCGTCTGTGTGAAGTTTGGGACCTGTGCCATCCAGCAGAGTTTGTCTCACTGGGAAGGAAAGCGGCATGTCAGCCTGGACCAGCACTGTGTCCAGGAATGTGTCGCTGGGGTGGGACTGACTGGGAGAGACGGAAGTTGGGATTCGGGCCAGAGACTCTCATGTTACCTAAGCGCACTTGGCAAGAGGTTGTTAAACTGTTGATGACCTTTGTTCGCGGGCATCCAGAGCCTTTGATTTAATGTTATTGCAGGCTAATTCCCCCATCCGCTCCCCTGTAAATAGACGTTGCACTGTTGCCACACTAGAGCTTTCTCTCCGCTACACTGACATCAGGAAGCTTCGTGAAGGTTGAGGGGTTTCTAGGTGTGTTTCCATCACCAAATCCTTGGGAACTCAGGTGTCGCCCTTTTCAGATTGACTGTGTTCTGGCTGCAAAGTCCAGCCCTGCCATTCCCCTCCATTAGAGAGTGTTTGATCTTTTATTGTGTGTTTGTGTCTTTTTCTTATGGGTTATCTTAGGGGTGTTCTATTGTTAGTTATTAGGTTAAAGTGTAAAATAATTCACACTTTTAAATAAACTCCATTTAAAACTTTATTGCAACACCTCAACCCAGTAGGTTTCCTCATAGTGGGTATACAGGGGGTGGATTAATTTTAAAGCAATCTCTGCAATTATTTCTGCATATGTACGTTGTTAATTGTGTATATATACTTTATATGCAGGATGTTGATAGTTGGTTTTGTAAGAGAAATTGGCATCCTGTATAATAGAGCATTCCAGCTCTCTGATCAGTTCACTTTAGAGGTATTGAAGCAGTAAGCTGCATGGCATTTAGGAAAACAATATAAATATTTAAATCTCTGCCTGTGCTCTCAATCACATGTATACTGTACATTTAGAGAAGAACATTCATTTGTAACCCAGTATTCTACCAGTTTCTAAAAATCGAAAGCAGTTATGATTAAACAAAATCTAACCTTTGCTTTTTCAATAACCACTGTATTCAATAACCACTTAACCATATAATACTATTGGGATTAGATGCTTTGATCTCTTTTCAAGTTCGTTATTAAATGTCATAGCATTATAATCTCAGTTTTGCTATTTCCCAGTCTAGATCTTTTCTTCATTTATTGCAAAAGAATTGGAGTTGGTCTCCCTTGGTATAACATATTGGGAATTCACAAGCAGAATTGCTGTATATTGTAAAAATGTAAATATATACACTGTAGAAGTCATTTATAGGCTTATATATTAATTGAAAAATAATATTGAAAATAATACTTAGGTCTGAGCTTTAGAGACACCTGTAGGGGCTATACGTAAGCGCTCCCTATTTAGCTTATTATGGTTACATGTATCAGTGATTTTTTTTTTTTTAATTTCCTTTTTGGCACTGGACACAAAACCTGAAAGGTTCTCAGGAGAGAAGCTGAATTCGTAGTCACATGTTGTACTGCCATCAAAAGACATGAAACAAAATAAATTAAGGGGTAGATTAGAAAATGTAACCATTTTAGACATTTAAACCTTTTTTTTTTATATAAAAATCCTCAACACCCTCCACTCTCTCCCTTCCTCTTTGGATATACAGACCTGATGTTATTGAGCCCCCATACCCTGTGCAGTTACATCTGGAGTTGAGCAACACTCACTCCTGTGTTAAGACCCCTGACATCTCTCGCAGTGTCTCATCCCACTGTGGGAAACTAATGGAAGAACAAAGCTCAGCCTGAACCTGAAATGAAAGAGAAAGATGTGTGTGGTCGGTGTCTTTGGAACAGATTGCTTTTCAATTTCATTTTTTAAGAACATTGGAGGTATGCGTTTCACAAAAGAGGAATGAAAACTCGACCGACTTGTTGTGTGGTGTTTTTGTGGGGTCCTAAGATGAGTCGTGTATTAGGACTCTGGGCCCGTGTTCTATAGACAATTGGCTAAACAGGAACCCTGCGTATTTAAATCTTTCTGCAGTGCTGTGGAAATAAATACAGAACAGATACAGTACATGAGGTGCTGTTGCTTATGTATACAGCATATAAAAAATTTCCAGATGAGTTTTGTTTGACTTTCTGGTACGCCATCAAAACTCAGTGCTTGTATTACTAGTTGGGAAACAAGCATAGAACAAGTGGGTTTGTTTTTCAAACATTAACAAAGCTACATCTTTGACTCACAACAAACTCAGTATATTCCTTGCAGTAATTTTGGAGGGTTCTTCCTGAGCAAAAATCACACTTTGTAATGCTTCATGGTAACAGGTTGATTAAACAATGCACTCAGTATATTTGTATTGTCATTCTGTGTGGTTATTTTGGGAAGCTCGGCAGTTGTTTTCAATGCCTGATTAAATCACTGGGGCTGCTCACACTATTTTTGCTGCTGTGCATTACATAATCGCATTAGGTTTATGCTGTATTTTGTCTGACCACTATGCTTCACACCACATTGAGAAATGTCCTATCATAGTCACCCGTGTTTCGACAGAAATGCATTAGAGTATGGGTATGGGTCTTATGGGTAAAGACATCTGCAAAAGGATCAGATCAAACCAACATTAAAAATAAGTAAAAATATAACAACGAAAAGTGCCCTTTCTACAAAATGGCTGCTAAGTACAGTAATTCACTCAGTTTCTCTGCAGTGATGGAATGCAGTTATTTTCCGAGCTTCACGGTTCATAAATGCTTTGTGTTATACAAGCCTCTGCCACTTTTAAATGAATGCTGCACCCCAACCAGTAGCAGAGGGGCTAAGTTTGTCATGGTAACAAAATGGTACTTTTATTTAATCAAACAAGTCAACTGAGAATAAATTATCATTGAAGCTGAACCTGGTGAGTATACAGTATGTATTTGTACAGAAGGGCATTTTATATGAGCAGTCTGAATTACCTTGATCAGGGGTGCTACTGCAGCTACTCACCTGAGATTAGATCCAATGACTGTCAGGTCTGCAGTTCAAACCCCTAATCGCCGTGTTGCAGCATCTTTGCTGTTGTGTCACAGCCATGTGCAGTATTTGATTCCACTTGTCCCCCTCGATATCCAGAGAAGCTTGCTGAAGCCCAGCGCAGGTTCGCCACCCTCCAGAATGAGCTCCAGTCATCTCTGGACGCCCAGCGAGAGAGCAGCACTCCGCCGGGCCTGCGCCGCCGCCGCAAGACCGTATTCCACCTGTCTCACGAGGAGCGAGTCAAGTACCGGAACATCAAGGACCTGCAGCTGGCCTTCAGCGAGTTCTACCTCAGTCTCATCCTGCTCCAGAACTACCAGGTGTGTCAGCCTTTCCCGTTGCTGAAGAGTCTGGAAAGCTTTCCTTGAGATGTCCACACTGCGTCTTCCCTTCCTCTGGTAGATTGTGGGTCTGAATTCCTCTTGCAGCAGCGAAAGCATTTTTTTTCCCCATTGTCATAGAGTTTGTTTGCTTGATTTGAATATTCTTGAGTTTCGTATTACATCCTCCTCCAAAGCATCAGTATGAACCAGATAAAGGTTACAGTTGACACTGTATAAAACACTATATAAAATAATTAAACACTTGCAAAGCATCTGTACAAGAGAAAAATCTGGCTGTTAATCGATAGTAAAGTTTTTTTAATGCCTGGCAATGTTTTTTATATATAGACCAGGATAGTAGACTTTGTGGGACTTTTGAACATTCTGTACTTACACAAATGTGTCTGTGGTAGGGGAACAGTTTGCAGTTACCCAGCTCTCAGGAGACATTCCTGCTTCATGGTTACTCGCGCGCTGAGTTCTGTGAGAGGAAGTCACTTTCTAGAGCTGAATTGGGCTTTGCATCACAGAACTTGTGCAAGAGATTATCCTGAACGCAAACATCAGTTTCATTACAGTTACAAAAACTGACCGTTGGAGACATGAAAAGGGTTGATATCTTATATCAGAAAACGCAAAAAGAAAGAAATTTGAGATGCACGAAATTATTTCTGGGGGGGGGTGGTATCTATAAAATCTTTTACTGCCATTTAAAATGGAGGAAGTATGTACTGTACTATGTAGCCATAATACAAATGCTATGATGATCTCAAAATCTGAAAGTTACCCTTCCGTTGTGCCTTTAAATAAACAAATGTCCTTTTACAGTAACACACGGGAGTGATCATCTATTGCTGTTTGTTTCCAGAATCTGAATTTTACCGGATTCCGAAAGATCCTGAAGAAGCATGACAAGATCCTGGAGACGCCCCGTGGGGCTGATTGGCGGGTGGCCCATGTGGAAGTGGCTCCGTTCTACACCTGCAAGAAGATCAACCAGCTCATCTCGGAAACGGAGGTACCGCTCGGTGTGGGCCCGCACGCTCTTTTTAATATCGGGGCCCCGAATCGGCACGGAGCGCTGGAGCTGACCCCCCCTGCGTGTGTGTTTCAGGCGCTGGTCACGACGGAGCTGGAAGGTGGGGATCGACAGAAGGCAATGAAGAGGCTCAGAGTGCCCCCGCTAGGGGCAGCGCAGGTGAGTGTCGCTGTCAGCTCAGAAAACCGCTGACAGAACTCGCACCGACTTTGTCCTTTTCTGATCTGCTCGCCAAAGACCAGGCCTGCACAGGGAATTCAGGGCATTCAAAAGTATCCTGAGTAACCAGACATGTGTGAGTGATTAACCAAATTTAATTTGTGCTTGTAAGCTGTTAAAAATAGATGTTCTTTCTGAAAAAGGACAGGAACATAAATTTATAATGCTCGGGACAAAAGGGACAAATCTGTTGTGTTTTTCTGGGCAGTTGTGCCATTAAAAAGCACCATGAGAGTTTAGCAGAGTAAGACCAAGGCTTTTGTTTTGCCTGTCCCTGGCACTGCAGGGTTGTTTAACATGGGCCAGCAAGAGAGCAGCCCAGGAGGCAGCGAAGGATGTCCTGAGTGCCAGCTGTGACAGGAACTAATTGCAGTTTCTCTTCACCCCTGACATATAGAGCTCAGACCATTTTCACGTCGTTTTTTTTTTTTAACGTGGAACCTAAATAGATGCTCTCTTTCAGATCCAAAGTTTGTTTGTTTTTTTCTACTCTACAGCTGGAAAGGAAGGATTTAAGGGAAATGAAATTCTCAGCTGAGAAGTCACTTTTCACTCAGGATGTGGCTCAATCCTGAAGTCAGGCTGGGTGTGTTGTGGGGGACAGTGAGCTAATCCGATCTTAAGAGACACTGACCTTCGTGACCTTCTTTGTGATAAAATGTAAAATTTAGTTACACTCTTGAGGCATCGACTGTTTAGTAATTCACCTCCCAAGGTGATCTAACCATTTTCTCAGCTTTCTTTTTCGGGAGCTCCAGTGTCTAAGGCAGAAGGTGTCTATGGTTTTCTAGCCACCATTACCCTTGTTGTACTCACGTGAACTAGGTATTTGAATAGAAACTCAAATCACCTTTTGTGCAGTATGTCGCCATCAGTTGCTATTAGAAGAGTACTCATAACATCTGTGGGCTAATCCCTGCTTTATAGATATCGTCCTTCGTAAAGGATCCAGCACTTGTAGTGTATATTATGGTTCTTGGAGAAATACTGAGGTCTAAAGAAACAAACAGTGCCCTGCTATTTCCAGTTAGGTGTGCTAGGAGCCCGTTTTTGTTTTTTGTGCTTAGCTTCACGCCAACAGTTCTGATCTTAAGTACCCATATTCAGCTATCTAACAAATTTTATATTATAAAATAATCTTGACAGCTAGATATTGGAATGTGAGTTCAAGGACTAGCCTCACAGCGTGCCCTTATTAGTGCTCTGAATGAATTGGTTGCACTGTTTTTGCATAACCGTGAATAAACGGTTTTGGAAAGTTTTCTAATTGTGGCAGCAACTGCTTTAGCCATTCAAACAAAAACTGTAAACGGGACTAAATGCAGGCAGTTTCAGCCAAAGTTGAGTTTTGCAATTGTTACAGTGTTATCTGTATTATTGAAGAACTGCCTTGTTTTATTTGGTATACTATGTTCATTCGTTAGTTGCTATTTCTCTGCAGGTGATCAACTGAGGTTGTAGAGTTGTGATAACGCGTCTCCTGTGAGTGGCGCTGTGAGCTGTGTCTCTTGTCTCTTCCAGCCCGCCCCTGCCTGGACAACCTTCAGAGTAGGACTGTATTGTGGAGTCTTCATTGTACTGACTGTGACATTCCTTCTGACAGGTATGCTTAGGGATCCTTCGAAAAGCTGTCAAACCCATCAGTCTTGTTTCCCAAGGCAGAGTACGATGTTTCGAATTCAGGGTGGCTATCACTGATTTTAAGGGTGGCTACAGATTTCCCTAGAACTACCACCGCTTAAAACGGAAAATTGTAGGACTAGATTATTATTTTTATTTTTTTGCAAAATGAATTAATATTCAATTAATGTTTCTGTTCCCTACATTGGCTAGCCACTCGCAATTCAGGAATGATCGCACCAGATAGAGTATATAGACTTTTTTACTGGTTAAATGTGACATGAAAGCTCAATAGGAGCAGCATCTCTTGTTCCCCATCATCCCATCCTAACCCCCAAGTGCTCTAAGAATTCCAGGCTGTACCAAGGACACTGTCGGTTCTGTCGCCAGATCAGTGGCGCTTGGTGAGACAGCAGTGAATCCAGGGTACGGTCAAGGATTGTACATAACGAGGGGAAAAGATGGCCTGATGAACTGGACCAGTTGCAATAAATTTGCTTCAGGGTAGTGGAAAAAAGACAGTAATGCAGTCACCAGTTTAAAGTCCTCAGAGGTTAGTTTGGAAGTGTGTCAACACAAAAGAGTAAGGAGGATGAATTGGGTAGAACCCCAAACCTGGACCAGAATGACAGCAAAGCCTCCTCTTCCATTCCGCATTAATGTAAAAGAGACTCCTTACCAGGAAGAGGAGTGCTTCTGGAGAACGTTTGTGTTTCTAATTAAAGCTAAGACCCTGGCAACACACATTGGGACTGTTTGTTGTCTGTAAACAGTTCCCTGAGAAGAGATGACATTTAGTCTGAGGCCTAGAGCTAAAATAAGGTTGTTGGGTTTTTTTTAAAGAAAAGGGAAAGCCACTTTGTGCCTGCAGACAAACATAAACAGTGCAGCAAACAGCGCAGTCTAGTGGTGGGAATAGCTCATGGCACCCTTCTTCGCTTTTACAGTGGCAGATTAGTTGACTTGCCACAGTGGCCTGAGTCCTAGCAAACAGCTGGGGCAGGGCTGATGGTGAGCCGCTTTGCGTGGCAGGAAGATAAGGTCCCTCCACTCTCCTGACACTGGAGCTATGTGGGGCATTTGCACTGTAAATTTCTGATGCATCAGGGTCAGAGCTGGCACGAGTGATAAATGCCACACACGGCACCGGTTTAGTTTATAGTTACAAGGTGGCCCTCCTGTACCACAGGCCTGGACCAAATTAAAACTACCTCTTCATTTTCTTTATCAACTCAGTGAGCAAAACAACTGTAGCTCATTTTTAAATAGAGTTTCCCCTCAGAAACAATTTTTGAACTGTGAGTATTTATGTTCAACCTTTACCCAGGTCTAAATTGTCGAGAAAGAAGGAATCTATTCCTGTACTACAATATTAAACGAAGTAGGGTTTATCATTTATCTTCTAGCTCGAAGGATCCGAGTCGTGAAGCATTCTGAGCTCTCGGTATTTACAGACCTTGTTCAGTACTTTTGTGTCATCATTCTGAAATAAAGCAGATTCAACAACACCAAAGAGGTTGTGTGAGAAAGAAAAACGACTTCACCACCTCATGTCCTGTGTAGCACATCTAGTTCTGTCTTACTGAAGCAAACGCTGCACAGGTGAGGCCAGAGTGCCTGAGGCTCACTGCTGCGTCCCCTGAGAGCTGCCTGCTGCCCCCTGCAGGTGTGATGACGAAGGAGCTCTCCAATGTCTGGCCCCTGGTGCGGATCTACAGGGGGGGCTTCCTCCTCATCGAGTTCCTCTTCCTGCTGGGTATCAACACGTATGGCTGGCGCCAGGCGGGGGTCAACCATGTGCTGATCTTCGAGCTCAACCCCCGCAGCAACCTCTCCCACCAACACCTTTTTGAGGTGAGACATCCCTCCCCCCCACCTGCCTGAGACACTGCGATAATAAATATGAAAAATAATTATACATACCAATATTACAATATAAAAAAAACAAAGGAAAATATTGTCAAAACATAATTATTCAAACATGCACTTATTCTCTTGCAAGGTAATTAGACTTTTCATTTATCTCTGTGTACTTTTATTTATTTTTATTCCTGCTGTTCTTTTCTGGTAAGTGGAAATCACCTCCATGAGTATCACTCTAAACCCCTTAGCAGAAAAAAAGCTGCAGTTCAGCCTTATTTTGCTCAGATCTCCTGGACAGGAAGCATAGGACCTCTGAGAGCCGTGGTGTGGGTGTTAAGGGCTAATTATCACACTTCACCAGCCCACTAGTTACCTGTGAGTTAGGAATTATTTTAGAGATTTTACTGCTCTGTTAGAAAACATTGTATTTTAAATACCCTCGCACCAACTGCATCGCTTTGTAACTTGTAGATTGTTCTTAATTGCAGTGTGTGCCGATATGGGAAAAGATAATTCAGTCTTCACACAAGCATTTCTGGGTCTTTAAATCGCCTTTAAAAACGTGTGATCATCAAGTTAATATTCGTATTCTGATTAAATTAATTTAATTTTTTTATAAGCTCTGAACTGTAGATGCCGAGTTCAGTTTTCTCTGCCTCTTAAGCACGGTATGGTGCCTTGAGATGTGTACTTTGTGGGATGTGCTGTGCTGCTAAAGACGGCAGCGTTGCCAGGTTGAAGCTTGTTCTCAGCCGATCTTGGATGAGAAGGCTGGGCCTGGTTGGCAAGAGACCTACTGCGAGACCAGTAGGTGGCTCTCTTCCCTTTGGAGCAGTGCCACAGTATTGTGACCAAGGACACTATATGAATGCAGGCAAATATTAATTCAGCAATTCTTGTGTTATTGTGTCCACAGATCGCTGGGTTCCTGGGTGTGCTTTGGTGCGTCAGCATCCTGTCCTGCCTGTTCTCCGAATACATATTCATCCCCACGCAGGCCAACCCCCTCATCCTGTATGGCTTCATGCTCCTCTTCCTCATCAACCCCACCAAGACCTTCTACTACAAGTCCCGCTTCTGGCTGCTGAAGCTGCTGGTGAGCACGGAGCTGCTGGGGTCTTCTGTCTTTTCAGTTTGCTTCAGGGTGAAGAGGCAAACCAGGTTTTCTGTTTGTAAGCCAACAATTGGAAGCTCAGAACCCAAGCTTCTTAACCAGACCGTTGTTCAATAACGGCTCAAGCAATCATAAAGTAAAAACACTGTGGAACTTTTGGATGATTTATGGAGCTTTGAGCTTCCCAGTAGCTCCTTGCATCTGACGAAGTGTCAAGAGGTTTTGGGTTTCTAATGTGTTATGGCCAGTGGGATAAAGTTTGATTCAGGCTGGCCAAAAGTTGTGTTAGTTTCATTATAATGTGTTTTAATGCAGATCTAATAGTGTGTCAGCTATAAAAACATACTCAGTGTGTCAACTATAAAAACGTACTCAATGAATTGATGCGGCTACTTCAATTATTCACAGTCAAGCTCAGCCAATAAACTTTAATTGGTTACTGAGGCATTTGGTGCATTCTTTGATCTAATAGCTGGGCTCAGGCAGGTTTTTTTTAAATATTTTTTATTGGTACGCCACACGAGTAACAATATATTTGCAGTGCAATGCAGAGGGCAGCAGGGTTAGGTATAATAAAATGCGGCATCTTTCCTCCAGATGCTTCTCCTGTGACTCTGAAATCATTACTCGGATAAATCTATCAGCACATTTATTGCCTCAGCCTCCTCTGTCAACATGAGCTGGACTGGAGCCAGAGACATCTCTGTCGCATGAAGCTGCAGAGTCTGTGCTTTTTTCACTATAAATCAGCACTAAAACACCAAAGTAAAAAAAGTAAGCTTGTCAGGCCAAATACCTAATTGTTATTCACTTAGTATGATTTATTTTATTTTTTTTCCTGCCTTCCTGCAGAAGTAATGATATTTTTATTGACATGACATGGCATAATCTGGATCTCCTGCAGTACATTTCAACTGGACAGTCACACAAATGAGATCCCTGTGATGGACCGAAAGACCTTGCAGACAAGTACAACTTGTGTCAGATGTGTCCCATGTTAAGTCACACATGTTGAGCGTTGAGTTGAGTACGTTATGGTCATCAAGGTGTCATAATGGTCATGCCTTAAGATGGCTGGAATGGCATTCTTTATAAGTTATTTCTATTAAATACTAATACATCACTCATCTTTGGATGGCTTAACTGTAAAACCATGCTGGCTGCCAACAAATGCCTTCTTCTTTCTACACCTTCCATAACAATGGGATAGGATTTCTGATTAAAAAAAAATAATAGTTCAACTGTTTAAGTATTTCAGCTCTATTGCCACCGATAGAAAAGGGTATCCTAACCATTTACCACTTTACCATTGCCTTTTGTTTTAATTTCTTGGGTATAAACAGTTGTTAATTTAGCAAGTTGAAGGGTTGTGTTTGAAGTGATCTAATTTTACAGTGTATTTCTTGTCTGTTTGAATTATTATTGCATTTTTTAACCAAACATCTTACTGACTTGAGTTTGTCCTGCCATTCGCCAGCTGTGACTGGGATATTCCAAAGTGTGGGTTATGAAGCTGGGTGAGCTGGAGTTGGGTATCAGCTCAACCACCATCAACTTGCCCTGCAACAGCCACACCTGAGACCCGACAGACATCTGTGCAAGTGTAGGGTTGCCACTGTGAGCTGCATCCATTCAGTGGATGCTATCTGCCCTGATATATGCACATTTATAGGACAGTGTTCTCCGAATGGTCCTCTTACCTCCTGCGTTCAGTTAAGGGACCATGCCCTCATTACCAGTTGATGATTCCAAATTGCTAAAAGGAAGAAAAAAATGTTGATACAGAAATGCATATGGTATGTATTAGGATTTGTGGCTGTGTACATCACCAAATACCTAAAAAAAGCATTTTGCTTTTAATTTTCCTGTCAAAAGGTTTTACCATGGATAAAATAATCCTTAAACTTGATATTGTATACACTGGGTTTTGGTCAGCTGTGATATAAGTCTATGCTTTTAATGCTCATTTAGATAGAAACATAAATACATAAATCAATCAATAAATGGAAGCATTTGCTTTCTGGGATTTCAGAGGGTTGTCTTATCCGATTAGAGACAGATGGGGAATGGAATAAGGTAAGTTGTAGTATAACTTGTCATCAGAATGGCTGTGATGGGAAAAGGAAGCGCGTGGTTTCCGGAGCCCTGTTAATCTTAAAGTCATTATTGGAGTGTTCAGGACCAAACTGACATTAATAACTTCATTTAGAGAGCTGCCACAGGGCATCTCATTATACATTTTACCAAATTCAACCACCGTAGTAGCAGTCCTGTCTCTGTGTTTGTTAAAATGTAACTTTGCATTTCGATGTTCATTGACACAAGAATGAGCCTTCTGTTAGCAGCTTGGCTCTCTTCTTGAATCCTGAGGCATTTTTCTGAGATATCACTAGTACTGCATATTCCACAGAGACTGCATTCAGCTCAGCCTTAGACTCCTAGAGCAGTGCTTCCCATCCTTGGGTTGCCAGAAACAAAGGCAAGACTTTGAACCCTTACATCTTGCAGTGTGGAAATTCAGCACAAATGCACACAGTAGTGTGACAGCATTTCCAGTGCCTTTACTAGCCATTTTGTAATATTTTAATAATCTGTGTTTAAAACGGAGCAAGGCTGGGCCTGGTCTGTACATTTGTGAAAGACCTGCAAGTAAAATAAGGTTTCTGTTCTAAGTGGTGTTAGAGGTAGCACTCTTCTCACTGGACTTGAATTTGTAAGCCAATGATCCAGTTGGTGACTAGGGATGAGGTGTGAAAATTGATAAAGGACATTTTCACTTCTCCACCTAATCTGTGTGTAGTGGCTGCCATATGATCCCCGCTATCAAAAACGGGTCCATCCCCTTATATTAAAAATTGTTGTTCTGTTGCTCGTCTTCAACCACAGTCACTTTAAAGGCATCTGTAAATGGTATAAGAGAAGAGAAAGGGAAAAAAAACCTACATATTTGTGCCTTTCTTCCAATAATGAGGAGCCTTGAGTGATTGAACTGTACTTGTAGTGTCTGAAGGTCAGAAGATGCCTTTTGCCTAGTGTGCCTCTTGGTTGAGTTAACCCTACTAACGCGAGTCTTCTCTCCTCTTCTTTTCTCTCGCAGTTCCGTGTCTTCACAGCTCCATTCCATAGGGTGGAGTTTGCAGATTTCTGGCTGGCCGATCAGCTTAACTCCCTGACAACCGTGCTGACTGATCTGGAGTACATGATTTGCTTCTACAGCTTTGAGCTCAGCTGGGGTGAGAGAGACGGGCTTCTGCCATTGACATCAGGTGAGTTACACTGCCAGATCCGCAGTAGCCTCTGTTACAGTGACCTTCCTGTCCTTCCCCTTAGATTCGGTTTTATACATTCTGTGGCTTAATGTCTACTCCAGTGTACAGAATACAGTGGTTTGAAGACATTTCTTTATAAATCTCTTGACCAGCGATGGGCAACTCAGTCCAACTGGAGTCTGCCCCTCAGAGAAAGGTGATTGGATTTATTATCCATATGAGTTCAATTAAGAAACTAAGATTAGAGGTTGAGTAAAAACCTACAGACCCAGTGCTCTTCCAGGACTAGGGATGGGAACCAATGAGCTAGAGCCATACGTGGCCATTTAGTAGCCATTGAATAAAGAAATGATTTGATCATTTCTGTTGTCTGGCCTATGAACATGCCATGGAACCTTTGTTTTCATTTGAACAATGTTGCACATTTTACAAAGGGTATTGAAAAAAATACCCTATAAATTCATATTCTGTTTACTGGGCATCTTTGTGGACTACTGTTAAGCAAAGTCCATACGCTATGAGTGAACGCTTGAAATACATTGTGGGATTTGAGCTGATATGATGGGTTTTTCATTCTAAATTTCTTTGCTGATTGAGAGACATCTGTGTGTGCGTGACATTTATAGAATAACTGAAAGGTTAAGTCAAAAATGACCATTTTGCTATGTTCAGAAATATTTGTATATGCAATGTTCACTTCTAAAAAATGTTCTTTCATGGCAACACTAGAGAGCATCTGAGGCTGTACTTGAATTATAAAACCTTCCTTCAAATGCTTCAATTCAGAGGATCACAGGAAGATGCACTGTGTATTATTTTTTTACTTTTAGAAGAGTGGCCTTCCCAATGCACGTCAGGAACGTAACAAATTGGCAAAAAAAATGTATAAAAGCTGTAAAAATATAGGCAAGCCCGATAAAGTCTCAGACAAGCGTTAGAAACCTGCAAGGATTGTTTGAGAGGGAAGAGTTAAAATCAAAACAACTTTTGTGCAGAAATATTCCCAGTGAGCTGGTGAAATTAGCTCCTAAAAGCATTTGCCTGCAATTAGCTGCTGTGTAATTAAATGGAAAAGCTGGGCCTTTGGAAAAGCTTTGACCCTCATCCTGAGCAGTTACAACACAAAGTAATGAGAAGGAAAAGCAACCTGTAGGGAGCATTCAGTGGTCTGTCCATGTGCCATGAAATGCATCAATGACCTTGACTCTCACTTGCCATTATCTTAGATCTGGTATCTCATGTACAGTTTAAATTGTTCTGACTTTTGTGCCTCATGTGATGTTTTCAGCTTGTCTGCTGCTCACTCTGTGTTTTGGTGTCCAGCCTGTCTTACATGTTTGTTGTAGGGAATTCCAGCCAATTATGAAAACATTCATGTTCTTTTCATTCTCCACAGTTGAAAGGGAGAAGGTGACGTAGCACACTTCATCGGTGTGTTACAAAAACAGCTGTGAAATTCTTGCCGAAACTTCAACGGTGGCTGCAGAATTGCCCTTACAGTGCTGGGAACCCTATAGATATTTCATTGATTGGCATATAATATTACAGTATATTTTCTGTAAACATTTAATTAGCCAGTCTTAAAAGTAATGAAAAAGTATACAAAATGTAAACTACACCCTTAATAATGACACTTTTAATGGCAGTTAAAATATCTCCTGTATGCACAGTATGTGTTCTTTAACCATTTCTTAATCAGGGAGACTAAGTGTTCTTTGGGATCAGACTTCAAAATGCTCCATCTTGCCACCACTGTTGTTGTTCAACAAAAGAAAATGTCAGCTGGAAGAGCTGGAAGAGGTGTTAGTAGAACCAGTAGGAGGCGCTATACTGTAATAAATTAAACTATTCTGTAATAAAAGGCGGTGTTCTTTAGATGAGATGAAAAACTGAGGTCCTGACTCTCTGTGATCATTACAAATCCCAGGGCGTTTCTTGAAAAGGGCATGGGGTGTAACTCTCGCATCCTGGCCAAATGTCCCCATGGCCTTTACCAATCATGGCCTCCTAATAATCCCTATCTATGAATTGGGTTGATCACTTTGCTCTTCTCCCTACTGATCGCTGGTGTGTGGTGAGTGTACTGACGCACTTTGGCTTTGCATATGCGTTGGTGGAGTGGAGTCCCTATTACCTGTAAAGCGCTTTGAGTGGAGTATCCAGAAAAGCGCTATACAAGTATCATTTTACTGTTTTATTGTTGTTGTCAATACTTAGAGGTTTGGAAAGGAAAAGGTCAACAGAGAAATAAACACACAGAGGTGAGGTAGGAAAATGAGACAGAAAGCTCAGGGTAGAGAATCAAGAACTATCCTCAAATATTAGGTCTTGGATCCTAGGTTTAACTGAGGATTATTCTGTATGGAGTATGCATGTTCTCCTTATGTCCATATGGGTTTCCTCCAAGTGTTTTGTTTTTCTACCGTGTTCCAAAGACATGCTGGCTATTTAATGTTTGCCCCTAAATTGTCAGTACGCTTGCATGCCCGAGTAATATATTGGAGAAGCATCCTATCTTGTGCTCAGTGCTTCCAGGACTCATTGGGGAAAATCGTTTTACAACACACTTCCAACGTAACAACACAATGACAGAATAGACTCAAGATCGCCACAACCCTTATCAGAAATAAACCCTTATCATCTTTCTTGCAATCGATGAGTAGGTGATTATAGACTATGAGCCCTCACCTCACTGGTTATGAAAACCTTGGAATGGATTGTGAAAAACAAGATTGTAGCAAAGGTACAGGATCAGTTTGAGCCATTTCAGTTTGCTTATAGGGCAGGTAGGGGTGTGAAAGATGCTAGAAAATGCTTTTTAACGTTGTCCTCCAGCTTCTTAATAAAAAATATGACTCATGCAAGGTTGCTCTTTCTGGATTTTTCTTCAACGTTTATTTGTATTCAACCTTATTTACTTAAAACTAAGCTGTTTTGTCATTTTGGTCTTCATCTTAATTTTTTCAGCTGGGTTACTAATTTCCTTCAAGACAGTAATCTTACAGTCACTCTGAGAATAAGAGTCAACAATGCTTTGTCTAACAAGCTGTATTCTTCCAGTGGTACCCCAAAAGAATGTGTATTGTCTCCCTTACACTTTGTTCTGTATACAGGTTATTATAAAAAATTTCAACACTCAAGACACATAATTAGACTCTTATTATTTGTTGCAAGCAGATGAATGGAACCGTTGGTCAGTCGTAAATGAGTTTGCCACCTGTTGTGAAAGGAACTTTTTGAAGTTTACTTCAAATTACTGGTCTCAAAGACCAAAAACATGGCAATTAATTTCAGGAATAACCCTCAGACCCCCACTCAAACCTGCATCAGGGGTGAATTGGTGGAGATAGTACTGTAGATAAATGTTAAACATTTTAGGGTTGTTAATTCATTGATTATTCATTGATCATGTCTTATTAGTCTTTAATTGAATCAGCTTTCACTTTCACTGTGCTATTCTGTTTTGGGAATCTAAATCTGAAGAGTAAGAACAAACTGGGGAGTCTTGTCAGACCTTGTCAGAACATCGTTGGTGTTAATTTATCGGTCCTATCCCACATCTATCAGTTATGAGTCTTGTGTGAAGCTTATTCCCTTCTAAAGGACACTTTACAGCCTTTGTTTCATTAATTCCAATGTCTCCCCTCAGAATGCAGAGACAGATTTACCAAATTTAAAAACAAACAGGATTTTTATGTGCTCGTATACCTGTGGCTATAATCTTGCTTATCTAACGATTCTTTTGTATATGTATGTGTGCAATGTTTGTGTGTTTTCTTCATATTGTTCTCTACTGAAAAACAAATTGTCCCTTGGGGATAATAAAGACTCCTCTCTGGGTAGATGCATTCTCAATAGAACGTTCATATTTGTGATTTATAATCATTCATAACATGTGAAGAGATTTTTCATCAGGTTAAGGGAAGTCTTCTTGTGCTAGCTGCATAGCCAGACTTTTGGTGTGCTTGTGTCTGTTCCATTGACATTGCCAGTGCAAAGACATTTTGTTTTTCACTCTTCCTGAAAAATTGGTTCTAAATTTACCAGGCATACCTTAAATATGTTTCCACATCTATAGACAGTGGAACAGGAAAGTCTGGTTTAGTCCCAATTTACCTTGTCCTGGCCACTATTTTAATTTCTCCTAATGCACCTGTATAAAACAGTCTGTTTGTTGAACAGTTAGTGCCGCTTGTAAATGCTCATCAGAAAGGCGATGGAAAGTGAAAAAGAAGTCTCAGTCTCCCAGGATGAGCCACAGCCTGGCCCATACTGGCAGATGTAGCTCCCTCCCATCAGTCTGCTGCCAGTGCCAAGCTGGAGGAGTGAAGGCAGGCGGTGGTTAATCTACTCAAGCTCTGACTGCATGTATTGCTGCGTAGCCAGCTTTTATGGATTTCTTCTATATAGTTATAGTTATAGTTGCAAAATAATCTCCCTTCTGTTTTAAAATGGATTTTTAATTTTATTCTGTGGTAACAATATCTGTATGGTCATTTCCAATTTGCCAATGAATCCCTCATATGCAAGTCATAGTCACTCATATGTAAGAAACAGTGCTCCTGGAAGACATTCCCATTGCAATAATTACCTCTGTTAGCACAGTTCTGCTTTCTCAGGAACACATCCTCGGCACTAAGCAAAGCATTGCTGTACGTAACCACCTTCTACTAGACTGCTCGCTTAAGTAACTTGCCATTTATCCGTTTATTGTTTATTTCCTGAAAATATTTTTTCGTTCCAAGTACAATATTCGCGCTTTCAAGAATTCAGAGTACATTGGTGCATTGCACTGTGTACATCTTCGTGGCAGGTGTCTGCCTAATATCACCATTTTCCTACCTTGTTGAGGTGGAAGTACCTAATGTCTCTCCAGGTTTTGCCCAAGTGATCGCAGAATCAAATTTCCTAGATTCCGGCCTCAAGGAAACACCCATGCTGTTTGAGAGATATTGGCTTGAGAGGTAGTGGACTCTCTATGTTTTGAAGCTTTTACAGGACGAGGACAATGAAAAAATGGATCCCATAAAATATGTGTTTTTTAAACCTGTGCAGTGCTCTTGTACTTCAGCACTCAACGTAAGGAATCAGAGGCTCATGACTCTTCTGGTGTTGCCTTGCTACCCTGCAGGTAATGCGGTGTGCAACAGCTACTCCTACGGCTTGCGGGCCATCATCAAGTGCTTGCCAGCCTGGTTCCGCTTTGTGCAGTGCCTGCGCCGTTACCGTGACACCAAGAGGGCCTTCCCCCACCTGGTCAACGCTGGCAAATACTCGACCACCTTCTTCATGGTCACCTTCACAGCTCTCTATAAGACCCACAAAGGTAAGAGCCTGGGTTCTCTGCAGATACTAGTCTGTGTGCTTCTGCCTTCAGGACCTGTCGTGAACTGATCTCCTGTGACAGTTATTTACTATAGCTGGAAAGCAAATTTTTGTGCTTGACGATGTACCCTCTTTCCAAAAAAGAGCTACTCCCAGCATTAGTTCTCTGTTTCCAGTGAGATGCTCATTCTTCTATTCTGACTCTGCTTTCACCTTAATGTAGCTACTGTAACTCTTGAGAATTAAACGTAGATTGCATTTATAATTCAGTCATTTTGAACAGATGCAGCAGCCTTGGTTGTTCCATTTTATTCCCTTTGTGAGACTTTGTTAAGGGTATCTTTAATTATTCAACTGACCTTGGGTAGCAGGGTTAATTCAACAATTAACTGGCATTTTTAATCATCAAGGACCTGTTTAGATGAAAGTTGTGCAGTGGTACCGACTGCTATGGAATATGATTAAGCTTCATAAGACGAGCAGTCAGTCATTTTGCTGCTGATGGTTATGCAGGACACAAGCAGAAGTTATATAAAATCTACAGCTGAGAGGTGGCCTTTTGGCCCGTCTGACCCATTTGGTTGTCACTGGCTTATTGAACCAAGGATCCCATCCAGCTTTTTCTTGAAAGGTCAGCTTCAACCACATGGCTCGGTAGGTTGTTTCTTATTCCTATACCTTTTGGGTAAAGAGATGCTTCCTGCTCAGCATTTTAAATGCACTTCGACTTGTGTCCTCTGATTTGTGTTTGACTGTTCATTCTGAAGTCCACTGCATAGATTTTGGCAATGTCTTTGAGGATGTTGAATATGCATATCAGGTCCCCTCATAGTCTTTTTTTTTGTTCAGAACTAAAAAGGTTCAGTTCCTCCAGCCTGTCAGTGTAGGAGATTCCAGATTTCACATCCCAGAATGCAGCTGTCTGCTCTACTCTGTACTGATTATTAAGCAGCAATCTGTATTTTGTAATGTGGTGATTGAAACACTGCACAGTATAGGAGAGGCTTAGATAGTGTCAAAGGAACAAGTAATAGGTTTATTCCATGCTGAAAAGAAACACAACGTTTCGGCCGTGGAGCCTTCCATGTAAAGTAATTTACATCCTCAGTGTCCAACAACATGAGAAATTGACTTTTGAAGAAAGACCATAAATTTCATCTGTTTGTTTTTTTCCTTTTTTTGTTCTGGATATTTCTTCTTATACAGTATTTCTTTGTACTGAGAAAGACAAAAAATCTGAAGTTTCAGTCAGGGTGTCCAAGGGGATCTCTTTAATTCAAGACACCAACCAGGCCAGTACTGTGTGTAGTTTTCAAGATAATTCACGATATTAGGTACATCTATTCCAGGACATTGACCTTGACTTCCATTTTGGGCAAGGGGATAGATAAGATTAAACTTACAAAGTTTCACACTTTGTGTTGCCCTAACATGGCTCTTCCAACTTCTTGCTGTGATTTTTGTTATTTTGTTAATTAATTTCCACATACTTGCATATTTGCTTTCCTTGTAGGTCTACATTATGTGAACATTTTCGGCAGTGTTTTTAATCCTGGCCTGATCTTGTCAGATCATAGAAGCTAAACGATCTTTTGAAGAACACTACAGTGGTTTTGGAGACTGTAGCATAGTGAGAAGTGTTCAGCATGAAAACCCATCTGCACAAACTGTGGAGGAGGGATGAATGTGAAATTTGCCCATTTGAGCCTGCACAGTTGCTATCAGAATTCACTGTTCACTCTAGTTTTTCAAAATAGCTGACATGTACAGTAGCTGAGACTTTAACAGAGTGACTTCCAGACCATAGGGGTCGAAACTGCACATCTGCCCCGGCTGCAGAATCGTTTACAACAGAACCTCGTCTGGCTGTCTCATCTGAAGGTGATGGAGGCTGAGTCACACTTTCCCAGTGAGACGCAGTGAGAGCTGAAGCCCAAACCTGAGAAGTTGCCCCATTACCTACACAACCACAAACCACGTATCCTCCATTGTAATTATTAACAGTCTTCAACGTCTATAATTCTGCGCTTACGCTCAGGCTGACATTTCTTTTCCTGCTGCCATCACCAGTTGCCATCTCAGGCCTTCATTAAGGGTGACAAAGGAAATCCACACAGATTGAAAACGGAGTGCAACTATCTTCTGTCTAAACCACAGGCTGCTGACTCAGTAACTTGACAATGATTATGGAGTAATTCTGACTGCTCACGCAGGCCTCCATAATCCTGCACATACCATGGAAGACATCTGAGATAGCACAAGAAGGGTCTCATGTTCATAAACCAAATCACTGAGTAAGAACTTGAGAAAGGCACATACATGAAGAGACAAGTGAAGTTTTATTCCACGCTGAAAAGAGAAGAAAAGAAACACAACGTTTTGGCTGTGGAGCCTTCTTCGGGTGTGTGTGTTGTCAAAGTCAAAGGAAAAAGTGTTACATTTCAGAAGAAATCCTTTCTGGATAATATTAAAACAACAACATCTGGAAAGGATTAGGAGGTGGTTAGAAAGCCTGGTCTTGGAACAGATCGCTGTGAAGAGACGGAATGCTGGTTTGGTGAGAGAAGGGAGCAAGTTATCCTGGTAGGAGTAGAAGGAATGATGAAGAGATCTACAAAAAGATTTGGAGGAAGGCATAATGGGTTGCAGCAGAAGTAGGCTTAAGTAGTTCAAGAAGGGAGCTGCGTCAGCATGCGTAGGCTGCAAAGGAACAAGTAAAGGTTTATTCCACGCTGAAAAGAGAAGAAACACAATGTTTTGGCTGTGGAGCCTTCTTTGGGTGTGTCATGAAGAGACTAATTGGTCTGTGCTGGTCCTTTGGTTATTCGTAGCTAGTTGATCCAAGCTTCAACAATATACCTCGATTAGTCATTCTAGACTGCCACAAATGTTCTTGTTCAGACTCATATTTCACTGTTAATAACTAAAAATGTCAAATGAGTTGACTTTGTCATTGCCTGAGGAGATTCTGAGCACTCAAATCAAATCCTCTCATCGTCCTCTTCGTTTAAGAGTAGGAAGGTTGTTTTTTTTTATCCTGTCAATCCTGTCAATATCGGACAGTGGCACAAAAGTAATGCAAGCAAAAACTTTCTATACAATCTCTGAAGAGCCATTTGACAGGTAAACATTGTATTATAAATATAGTGCTGAGTGCATGACTATCATTTCAAGGTAAATATTGTGAGGTTCCAACAGTCAAACATTTCTGCTTAGATGTGGACATACTTAAAGCTACAGATGTTAAACCTTTTCGATATAAAAACAGAATCTATGGAGAGTGAGTTCTGTTGTGTTCGGGACGTGAAACAATGTGTTTTTAAAAATCTTTGAGAAAGTCAGATGGCTTTTTCACCTGTAATTGGTTTTCCATGCAGAAAGAGACTGACTAATGACTTGTCTTTCATATGTGAGATTCTGGTCAATCTATGTTCGAACCAAGTTATTAGCAAAAATTTCCATGTAAATGAGATGCAGTTGCATTAGCAGCCAGTAATTGTTGGCTTTCTCTGAGACATCAAATTCCCTGCGCTCTTCTGCTTCAGTGAATCTCCCTGATCAGTGTATGCTGCTGCAGTTGGCTGGATGTGCATGCTAATAAAGAGCTTTGCTCTGGTATAAAACACTCACCACAAGCAGAGCTCTCCAGCTATGAAAAGCCTGTCAGCATCTGTAGCCAGGGAGAGGACTTTGCACTGCCAACAGTTGAGATGAGGGGAGGAGGGACTGGGGTCCAAACAAGGGTTAGTCTAGTCTGTACCACAAGATGTCACACAAGAGCATGCTTTGTGCCTGCTACAATTGCACAACCCACTGTAAGATGTTAAAACCTTTCTGCTGTTTTGCTATTTTTGTGATTACAGTTGCTGTCCTGTGCTGTGCCGTGTTGTTCCCAGCATGTTTTTTCTTGATACACAAAAGGTCTCTATTACGCGCAATGCTTGATCGTTCTTTTACCTCAGCTCTACTTCAAGTATTTCATTTAACATGAGCATATTGGACAATACTTCAGTACCATGGAATTGGGAAGTCAGGATAATTGGTTGTTTCTCCTTTGGTCTTCTTTTTCTGCAAGGTATCGTTCAGGGCTTATGAAATTCACTCAGTTGCATGCTCGTTGTCTGGGTGAAAATAGACAGCGGTGAAGTACATGTGCCCTGAGACTCTGAGACTTTCTGAAAGATTCTCTGAGCACCAGGTGCTGCTGGTGTACGGGATCAGCACTCTTGTCTTTCACCTGCCGAGGTCTCCAATATCTACCTGACACGACCCTCACCTCACCCTTGTTCCTGATCCAAACCCCTTCCTAACTGTAAGCATTAGCTCAACCCAAACTCTTACTTCACTTCTGATGTGTACCCCGATTTTAACACGAAAAAAGCCTTATCCTAAACTCAGCCATCACCCCATTCCTAGCTCTGACTCTGACCCTGACTTTACTTTGGACCTCAACCCCAGCTGTCCTCCAAACTCACTGCAGATTTCTCTCACTTGCCATCCTCATGTTGTCCTTCAGCAGCCTGACACTTAACCTCCTACCTGTAAATCATTTACAGTAGTTCCCCTGGGGAGGGTCCTGGTTTATATTCCTGTTTACTGTCCTGATAAATCAAAATCATGATGAAATGCGTTTCATTTTCCCAGCACTGCATCTGCTAGCTATGACACTCCTTTTTTGTTCTTTGTCAATGAAACTAGTACAAACTGATGTTCAGTTACGCTTGCAAAAGCAGCCTGACAATTACGAGTTTGACAAGGTCATATGGATTAGTGCAAAGTTGTACATCCAGATAGTTCAAATTCACTTGATAATTACCAGAATGGAGGCATTGAAGTAGAAGAAACCACTTTGAAAAGGGCCGTGGAAGTTAAAACGAATTAATCTTTCTTCTAATTCACTTTGTTCAGTTTAGCTCAACCATATTGGCTCCTCCTCTGTACAATATAGGGAAGTGCCTATAAACATTTAACAGCATAGAAGGCATGTTAACGTTCTACAAT